GTACCCGTGCGAGTATCCAGCACGTCTGTACAGGTGAGAGGTAGTAAATGATGACGTGTGTACCCGTGCTGGTTAGATTAATAGTGGTTAGTCGGGATGGAACTGGTTTGTCGGGATGTAGTGTTTTGTTTTGGTTAATAGTGGTTTATAGTGGTTAGTCGGGATGGAACTAGTTTGTTGGGGTAGTAGTTTATTGATGTTAGATGATTTGTGCGGCTAGAGTGTTTGTAGGTTTATTGTTGTTTGTGAAAGGAAAATGATTTGTTGAGGTGGGATTTGTTCGAGAAGGGATGAATGAGGTATATGAGGAAGGGGAACCTCGGGGTACTAAGTATTTACGAAATAATTCCTTAATTTCATGCTGCAAGAATGTCAAGTTTTGATAATGATTACAGTGTAAAGTATAAGTAGAGTTGGAACGAAACTATTTTTTAGGAAACTTATTCGGACCAACTACAAATGAATATGGTTCAAATGTATTTTGTTTCATGGCATCTACAAGACACCCTACATCTTAACCCCACAACAGGAAACTTGGTCAATGGCCTTTCTATAAATAAGTATATGAAAATATACATTGGTCATATATTCATTAATTTTACGGCGATATGTTAACATTTAGATATATGAAGATCATGTTAAACATTTTATATTAAAATCTACATTGTTTTGAAAGTTATATTATATATAAAACGAACAATAAAGTACTTGCAGAAGAGTTTCACTGAATAGAAAACACACGTGTTTTTAAATAATACAAATAAACAACACAGGTGATGTAAGCGGTTAATATAAATCGACGGGAAAATGACGTGCAGCATTAAAGGCTGCAGTTTGATATCCAGTTGGTCACACCTGACTACTACTGACCATACTCACTTTATTATCGTTACTTGCAGACGGCGAAGACTCGTCTTCCGAGCCCGGGATCACCATTTTTCGAATTCATTGGCATGGAGACCCAGTTGGTGGAGGAACACATTTCGTGCGAGCCTCGGTGTGCAGTCCATCCTGATGACTGTAATATGTTGCAGGAGTTCTCAGAGCTCGACTGTAAATGTTTATGCAGAAATGAGCAGACGTGTCATTCCAGAGAGCAGTTCTTCGACGACACCCTCTGCCAATGTCGATGCAAAACGGAGATGAAGTGTTTCGGTGCCCACATTATTTTTGATCATGATTTTTGCAGGTATAAATATCATGTCTAGAAAAACACTGATTTGTCCAAAGTATATTGTTTACATAACCCCCTTTTTTTTAATGTGAATCAGTTAACACAAAGTGACATTTGAAATAATCCTGTTACATAACAAATGGATATGCCAACCAAACCCAATACAAAGTATACAGTGATACTGTCTTTGTTTAGGCGTCAGAGAGAATCTGAACCTCTGATAGTAACTTTAGTATATTGGTATGTAACTTCATGATTTCCACACTATCAAGTAAATTGGGAACCTTTCCATTCCTTCAACACTTTACACATACATTCAAACATATTTGATTGGCAAATAATCATATGGATTGACAAGTCCTGACAAATTACTAGGCCCTCCTCGGCAATACATTATACAGAACCAATAGATGACACAAGATGACAAATCGTGTTAAAACAGATAATACTCATGATAATTTATATAAACACAGCAAAGAGAAAAGAAAGAAGTTGAAGGAAGAGGTGGAAAGAGGGATAGGACGGGGAATGTTCCGTTTGCAAAAGTTGTCCCTAATCGGTTTCAGACCGTTTTGCTGATTTTATGAATGGATATACAGCAGGTGATTGCTTGGAATGGGAAATTCGTATATTCACGTAGAAATTAATCGAGATGGGGATCCGGGGTCATACAAAGGTAGAGAAAGAGCAGTTAGCACATTGGTACATGCCTATGTTTTGTCTGTTTATAGGTGCCGTATGATGACGGTAAACGAGATCAATCAGGTCCTATTGGCTGGAGGTTTGACTTCAGAGGAGCTGCAAGAAATCATGACTGCAAACCAAGTCAAGAGTACTGTGTCGAAGACCACTTATATTACTAACTCCACCACCGCGACAACACATCAGCCTTCAACAACGAAATCGACGACCACCACAACCACACCACCGCCTACCACCACGCCCACTCCAACAACGACGACCACCACAACAACAACTCCAACCAGCCAAGCTCCAACCACTACAACCACCATCAGACCTCTCAGTCCCGCGGAAGCGTGCGCCCGTGTCCCGTGCACAGTAAACAAGTCGCCGGTATTGCTTTCGAACGGCCTGTGTCACTGTATGCTGAAGTTTTCCTTCAGTTTGCACCATTTGGGTGGCTTGAGGTACCGCCGAGAGGTGCTCCGAAGGCGGAGGGCCGCGCGGCCACATCATTAGATCATGCCGCTGTCGTTGTGCTCAATGACTTTTGTGTATATATAATATACATTCCATGGACAGATATACATATTTGAATCCGACAGAACCTTTATAGAGAGTCGTGTTGGTATCTAAGAGGCTGTGATTTTCTAAATCATTACACGTATTACTATAAATACTTTGACCTGAACTATGCCTGGTAATTATAGTAAGGCGTTCTCAACCTTGCTACCAGTGTTTGCTTGTTTGTTTATTGTCTTTGTGGATTTGTGAATGATTTTTTTTTTTTATTAAATGTAAATTATAGTATAAATTTTCCGTTATTTTATTCTATTGTAATAATACAAACATAGAAAGTGGAGCTCTTTCACAATCTCTCCCAGGGTTCTTTGCGTCTTGCTTAATTCATTGTAGCACAAGAACCCTGTTTCGAGAATGGAATGCACAGTGAGGAAGCAGGCAAATGGGACGTAGCAGTCATTTGTGACTAAGTACAGCAGTCATGCGCATCTCTTAACGGTTTGGTGAACGCACATAGTCACATGTACTAACGCATCACCTTCTGTTACTCTTATAATGGTCAAACATGCTCGTACGCAGGAACATGTGCCAGTCGCACGACCAGTTATATTTTTCGACAAAGAAAACAAATATCGCTGGAAAATGGATCGAATATATAGGCATTGAGCGATTGTAATTAAATGTGTGACTTTATGGTTTTTCTCATATAATGTTGACAATGAAACATCAAATTCTGCTTTCAACGTTTATATATTGTAATTTATAAATTTGAGTTATCTTTCATCAAAAACATTTCATCACTGACACCTCAACAATATCAAAATGATGATATATCGCTTCAGGTGGAGTGTCAAGAGTCTAAATGACATTTCAGTTAGG